GATGATTAAGTTTTATTACTTGGTTATGGTACTTATTACTGATGATATAACAGACTATAACTTTCAGAAGAGAAACGCCCAATGGTTCTTCTACAGCCCTTCTCTTCTAGACATATGCTTGATTTTTTTACAACTGGTGTAATTATGGCACGAATGAAGTACGGAAATAATGAAATCCCAGCTGGATTTTTATCCCTCTTACTGAATCTACTGTAATATTCTGCTAAGGCGCTCTATAAACACTTGGGGCTGATGATCCAAGCCTGCAATTTTTTATGTGAGTTGTTTCCTTGGTACTATTCTAAATACAGATTTCTCTTACAGCGAAGCAGTCTGGGATAGATTCTTTTCCCCTCTATATGAGCTTTTCCTGGTGATCAGATACTGGCATAAGCGAACTACTGGAATGCTAAGCTTGGGGTGAAACAAGTTTTTGAGAACCAGCTTCTATCGGAAGTAAAATGGTAAAGAGAGGACAGGGGGAAGGGAAGACCTTAGCTCTTTCTCTTCATCATCTTTTCCTTGTGAGTATCATTTCAGTCACCCAGAAAAAAAAATAGAGTTACCTGAGTATTAAGTTTCATCCTAATATTGCAAATTAAGAACTGAATGTTCCTAACAAGATCTGCATGCCATACACAGCGATCTGTTTGCCCAAAATAGTTGGGGAGTTCTGCCGACCTCGGCTGAATCGAGTGCTGGTGTCCTGTAAGGAAAGAGGAGTATTCAGCTCAGTCTCTGCATTTTGCCTGCTTGGAAAATCTAGTTTAATGCCCCATGTCAGAGGTCAGCAGAGAACCCAGTGTGCACATTGAGTACCTGATATATTCACAATCGTGTCCCATTTCTTAGGGCTTTGCAAGGCACTGTGCCATGCCAAGGCCCACTTAGCTCAGCTAAGCCATTTCTACAGAAGTAAAATAGTTCACAGGAAGGAATTTAATACTTTCAGTAAAATGTGCTAGAATGTCTAGCTTTTTACCTTGCAGAAACCAGATTCCATTTAGGAAATGTGAGTATTATATCAGCCTGTTACCAGTTTTAACTGTAATGTGCGGCTAATAATTTAATACTTGTGGAAGTAAAAACTTTCTAACACTTCTTCAGAGAATGTGCTGTACTTTTCGTTTCCTTGACCTTCTAGGTTTTCATCATTATAGATTACTGCATTGTATTAAAATAATTTTCAGAACAAAAAAAGAGAAAAAGTCTTTCATAAGGAATAAAATCAGAAGGGGCATACAGAGTGTGATTTTTACCTGCAGATGTGCCTAATTGTTCAAAATAACTGCAGAATACCATTTGAGTATGTTTAAAATACAAATATTGACCAATACAAGTTTTAAATAGTTCTACAATAATTTATGCAAAGAACATGCAGCCCACTTAGTGAATTTTTTGCAATTGACTCCTAAAATAATGTGTTATTCCCTTCAATGAATTTATGTGACCTGAATAATAAACTGGTAACTTTAATTATATCATGAAAATTAGCAAGTGAATGCAAACTTCAGATTGCCAAAGACAGATGAAAAGCAAATTTCAGGAGATCTAACAGTAGGCTGAAATAAAAAAATACTGAACCTATGAAACTAATGGGAGTTCATTACTGAAATAATAATACGTCCATCTTATGTAATGCTTCTCTACCAGAGGCACTGATGAAAGTCAAACAGGAGAAGGAGCTGGAGAATAGCCGGGAGATATGAGGACTGCAGTGACAACTTGAAAGAACCTGCAGGATCCCTGAAGAAATGAGAGTTGGGTCAAAACAAAGGTCTCAGCCCCTCAGTGCTATTTCGATGTCATAGAAAATCTGCATTTAGTCCATGATCAAAACCTATTCAGTATGTTTTGGCTCCAAGTCAGACTAGTAATTGGAAAGGTTCTGTACTGCATTTTCATGTCATTCTATCACTCTGTCTGGTGTTCCTAGCTGGTTTGCAGAGCAGGGTGTCTGTCGACTTCCCCAAACAAAGCAGCATGGTGGAGAGTTTTGTGGGTTCCTTCATTATACAGCAGAGTTGTTGCTAATCAGAGTAGTGATTGGAAGCTTAAAAACAGATGTAATGCATTGGTGAGGGCTGAACAACATGGTTTCCCCTGGGTAATGGGTGCTGTTCCTCTGCTGCTTCTAGCATGTAGATTCAGGGAAAAGGCTTTGAATTAAGAGAAGCTGGATGCCAGGCACCTAAACTGCTCTTTTAATTAAGTCTGGTTATGAAATGATATGATCTTGGCAACAACAATATGTGCTAATTGTAACTGCTTGTTCTGAATTTGTTACTCAGTTGAGTTACACAGGAACTAAGTGTTCCTCTCAACATGTTTTTTTCCTTCCCTACTAACACAATGAATCATGAAGGACATTTTCTGTGAAAGCTGGTGCAGCCCAGACCCAGCTATAGGAAGAGATTGTTACAAACAGAAATACATGTTATGGTCCTGATTCTGCTGGCAGGACAAGCACTTACCTCACTGTTAAACACTAGTGATTTTTCGTTTGTTTGTTTTACCTCCATGTTTCAGCACATTTTTACATTGTGTTTTGGAAGAACTTACACTAGCTTAAATGCTTCACTGGGTCAAGGTTTAGATTGCTGTGAATTTGGAAATTTGGATGCATGTTACATCCACAACCCCACCTACCTCACAGAAGCTTTTGGACATCAAGCTGTTATAAGTACTTGGGCAGTAAAAGCTCCAGTATTTTTCCAGCTATCTACATGTTTAGAGCAATGTGGCTGGGCTAACTTTCTGTGGGACCATGTTGAACTAACTCCTGAGGTACCAAGAAAACTGTTAATTAGAAAAAACAAACCAGTTGCCCTACCTAATTGTTTGCATTTCCAAAGAGCATGTCAGTGGGGAGAAACGTCTTTTTAAAGATGTGGCTATTCTGCATCAGAACACGTGTTCTAGCAGGGATCAGTCAGCAGGGAGCAAGCACTGTCTTTGGCTTTGTCAGACCAAAGGGGCAGGAGTGGACCATGCTGGGTATTGTGGCAGTGTGCAGTTGGTTTTCCTAAGAAAAAGGAATAACTGTAAAGAGAGATAGACTCTCCCAGAGAAATGCAGGTGACATCACCGTGCATAGGACCCTGGAGGGGTCTGGGTCATAGTCCAGACTGGGGTTGGATATTGTCTGGTTTACCATTTAAGTAGTCCTGCTGTAGAGAATTGCTGGCAAAAAATAAATGCTCATTGCAAAAAAATAAGAAATCGGAAGGATCTGTGCCTAAGCCAGCAGAAATTCCACCCTTTATGTGGCAGATATAAATGCCTGTCATCTAGTGTCGAGTTGTTCCAATTGTGTTGGAACATCTCATCTATAATCTGCTACAGTTTCTCTGGTCTAAATCGTAGGGTCAATAGCAAGATAAATCCAAGAGATTAATCTGAGTCACGTGGTCCAAATTATGCCAACAACTGTGCTTTTCTGTACTTAAGCTGTGCAGCGCAGCGAGGATCGTATCTCAAAACTGAAACTCAAATGCCTGCATGAAGTTGCGTAACTCTGCAAGTGAGTGTGTGTGTATGTCCGCATGGGAGAGGGGTCACAATGCCTGGAGGTAACCCCTGGGCACCTAACTGTACCCACAGTGCAAGAATGGTGCCTGCTGAAAACTGGCACCAAACGGTCACTTCACCGAGCTTTGCTCCATCACAAGGTTATGGGGACCTTGGTAAGATTTAATGACAGCTGGAAATCTGATTAAAAATTCATTTAGGTCTTGATTAATCTCAGTACTTAAATATGCCGAACATTCACCATGTCAAAGTTCTGCGGATATCGCCAGGACTGCTTACAAGCAGAGGAGCTGTGAGCTGGCGCAGGCCCTAAACACACAGGTGTTTGCACAGACCCAGCCTTTGTGTCTTGGTATCAGTTTTCACTAACTGAACTGCATTCACAGCATCTAAAAGGTCGAATTGTAAAAGATCATCTAGACTATCCCATGCAGCAGCATTGTGGACTTCTGTGTAGTCCTATCACTTTCTTCTGGCTGTACTTGGATATCCCAAAAGGGACATCTTCCATTTGCATTAGGAAATCACTCCCGCTGCCTCTCTGGCAATCATTCACCTCATTCTTTACTATCTATACCCTTGGATACTTCTGAGCTATTAGCTCATTTTCAATAACTCTATTTTTTTATCTTTCTTCCAGAGAAGCCATCACCATTCAGTGAAAAAGATAACACCAACTCTTTTTAATGTCAATAAGCTTGGGGGTTTTTATTCCTCATTATTTTTATTCCTCATTATTATTTTAAATAAGTATATGAAAAAAGTTTGAAAACTTTTGCTGTCTAGTATGAAATGTTTACAGTTTGCAGACTGTAACTGCATTTCAAGCAAATTCTCTTGCAAACACTATGTATTTTATACAATAGCAGTGCAATTTGTTACTTATAAGTTGATCATCTGGCTACAGGCAAACTTTGAAAGCTTTCACATACAGTGCTTTTATTTTAAGCTTACTAGTGACTTTAGATACAGAATTCAGATTTGTGTCGAGGCTTCTTCTGTATGCCTGGTGGATGAGCATTGTATGAACAACACTGGTGCGTAGCCCTGAAAGAAGCCATTCGAATACTTGGCTCAAGATGTGCATTGCAAGACCCTTGGAAACTCAAAGGCAAGTAAAATAACAAGCGTATACAATTGTATTTGTGCCAACAGAAGCTGTTTTGTTTGTTACTTGTTTGATATTAGGCATTCAGCAAGATACATGACTGGCAGAAACGTAGTCTTATTAGTCATAGAGAAGAATGAATATTTATTATTGAATGAACTCTGACTTTTGACATTCTCAAAATCTCCAGCTCCATGATGATGTGTTGGAGCTAGCTGTGTTGGCTTGACTGCTTGTTACACCTATGCTGGCAGAGAAAAATAGCATTGTAACCTATGTTGTTGCTTAGCTTTGTGTATTGTGTTGACACACATGTGTGTATATTTCTATTCCTGTGCTTGGGAATGTCTTACAACCCAACTTAGTTCCCTGTGTAAATGTATTTGATTGGTGATGCTTGATCCTCCAGGATCAAGCTGTCTGTCTCGTTGAAGGTATCACTTTCACCAGAGTTATTGGCATTTTTTACTCTGGTTAGCCGAGACTGCAGTCGTTCATGTTCTTTTCTCAGCTCCGAGTAGGAATGGGAGAAAGTGTGGAATATTGATGTTGCAGGAAAAGACATGATGAGGATCCCACTGAGGATGCTGCTCAGAGCCACCATCTGGCCTGGGACACTCCGTGGTACCATATCTCCATACCCCACAGTGGTCATTGAAATGATAGCCCACCAGTAAGAAGCAGGTATGCTTGTAAATTCAAGCACCTTCCCAGATTCATTCTCGGCGAGATAGACCAAAGGAGAAAACAGAGTGACAGCCACGCATAAGAAGAGTAAAAGCAGGCCAAATTCTCGTGTGCATCTCCGAACTGTGAGGCCCAAAGTCTGCAAACCCAAGGAGTGCCGGGCAAGGCGCATTACGTACAAGATCCTCAAGGCACGTAAAACCCGTAGCACCAAACCAACCTTCTCCAAATATGTGTTGCTGCTTGGTCTGTCATCCTCCTCGTTTGAGTCATCCTCTGAGAAGATGAGGGAAACGTAATAGGGTGAAATAGCCAAGAAGTCAATGATATTTAGGGGTCCTTTGAAGAACTGACACTTGCTCCTTGCCTGAATGAATCGGAGGCAGAATTCCAGGGAAAACCAAGCCACACAGATGGTCTCTATGATGAAGATGTAATAGCACTTCTGGGAACACTCGCCCTGACACAAAACAGAAAGAGGATTAAATAAAAAAACAGTCTGTGAACCAGCATCCAAAAACACTAAGGAAGAAGCACTATGTAGCTGCTTGGGTCACTGGTATCAGAAATGAACAAATCCCAACTAGCAGGTAGTTGTATGGCAGCCATCTTTCAATGGTGTATAGACAATAATGAGCACATGAAACACTGAATGAACTTATGTATCTACTTGTTTATTTTTATTGTATTGCTTCTTCCAGTCTAAATGAATGAAATTCGTCTCTGTATAAAATCTTGGCATGCCGGCTGCAAGTCCCGAAGAAGTCCAACTTTCTGCTCTCAAACAGAAGTTAATTTAAACTTGACTGGTTTATAAGCCTTTAGAAAAAATCAGTCTCTTCAAAAGAAAGATTAATGTTTCAAAGTCTCTGTAAACCCCTGGTGCTGTTCAGTGCATGGTGCTTTCACAAATGCTTTGTACTCTGGTATAATTAAAAGTGGTTCAGAGATATTAAGTCATTTGGATCCTTAGCTCAGTTATGCTACATATAAATCTTGTTTCTTTCTCTACATGCAAATGTTTTAATCTAAAGGAAAATAAATACCCACCCAGTAGGTGAGACTTGCCTTGTAGAATCCTTTCTCAGTATTAAGGCCACATGCTACAAGCAGTATTTTCTTGGGTTTGTTATCAAAAGCATTGCTTTAGTTGAACTACTTTGGATTCACATGTTTTTGTTTTCCTGAGCTGAGCTTAAAAAATGAAACTTCTTTTGGCCTATTCCAGTAGAAGAAAGAGGCAAACATAAGTTAACCTGTAATTATTTGTGTAAGCAAGAGACTGAATTGAGCTTTGTCCTTTAGTGACGGGCAGCCACTAGGCTACACCCACCCAAGGAGCGAGCGAAGAGGTGGGCACATCAGTTACAGGGCCTGAGGTATGCGCACTGCCTCCTTCACAGGCACAGCATCTGCTGACTGTATTCCACCTGGCAGATGATAAACCAGGTCCTGCCACCATTTTTTGCCTTGCAGAAGATAAGAAATAGTAACGAAAGCAGCATGTACTGCGTAGCAGCTGAACACCTGCCCCTGAAAGGAACACGTTTTTAAATACTGGTGTCACTGCTTGCTGACACACCCTGTCCATCCTATTGATAAATACATTCCTGTACCTGTACAGAGAATTAATATGTTCTTATGAAACCTGGTCTTGTGAGTTGACTAACTGTTTTTTTTGCTTTTAAGCATTGTATATAAGTTTATTGAAGAATGCCACTGAACAGGTACTTGTATGATATTTTCATAGTGACATGCTGCTACTTACATTAAGTTCTTACATCAGTTCAAGTAAACTGGAGTCTTTCATGGACTCTGTCTGACTTTGAAGCAGCCTTGTGTGCTTTGCTGAGCACATTGTCAGAACACTGGAATATGAAGTGCACAGGGTTTGAATTTTTGGTGCAGCTGAGGAATCTCAGCTATAACTGGGAACCAGGGAAAGGGATTGACTAGTATTGCAACCCTTTTAATTTCTCAGACTATAGCTTGTCACGGCATGTTCCAGAAAACCCAAACGTAGAAGGTGGTAATTTCATTTTAGATTTTTAAGCTACTTGAAAGTTAACATTTAGCAAACAGCTCTTTCCAGCTACAACTTTGGTACATGAAGACTTAGCAAGGTTAAAGAGTCTTCTTGTATTCTTGCTGAACAAGGACTTGCATCTCTGAGATGTTCACAACTGCAGAGGATCAAGCAGAACGAGGGATGATGAAGGAGGATCTGTGCAGAGGAAGAACCTGCTTTTGGGAGAGTAGAGTGGCCATGTGTTGTCACCAACACAAGCAGGAATAACTGCAGACCCTTGTTTCGTGAAAGGCTTTTTTGTAACTGCTGCAGACTGAAGTCAGGGCTGCTGGATGCATCATTCCTGGTAGCCTGTCTCTGAAATTCAGCTATCTAGAGGAATAGTTCCTCATGCAACCTTATCCATTCTCAGCCAAATTTCATGAGCAATATTGATTAAAAACATCATGGGAAACACATACGTGTACTACTAATTAAACTTACTGTCAATATTCAGTTACCCCCTGCATTGGAATGCTATGTTGGTTTTTTAGAGTGTCCCCTGGGATAGAATTACTGCTGTTCTTGGGAGTAGCAAGTCTTTTTGTTCAGGCAGTGTTTATATTGTTGGCTATCTGAGGTTCGCCAGGTAAAATGGTAATTTATCACTTACATGTATGTTTTATGCTGTGTAACCCTCAGAACAATTTAGCTCTGTAGCACAATTTGGGTTTTTTTCCTCTTTCTGCACAGGAGGCTGTCAAGATCATAATTTGTCTCTTAAAGTAAACATTGCAGAAGGTAATGGAGACTTGTTCCTGCTAGAGTTATGCGTACAGCATCAGGTTATAGCTCCATTTGAAGTCATTGCCATGGCAGTGCCTAGAGTGTATTGATCTTTGCAGAACTGCTGACTTGGCTTGATGAGATTGCTTGCAATCAGCAGTTGTGTTAGGCAGTGTTCACCTTTTCTTGAGTTGTAAATTATTTGTACAGTGCAACCTGGACTCTGCACAGACCTGCCTGTGGTCACTCTAGTGAAGGGGCCTGTGAATTACTCATTGTTCCCATCACAATTTATTTTATTTTTTGTTAACTGGGCTGAGTTTTTCAGTACATCTGTCATTTACCTTTGTACATTTACAGGTGACATTTCTCGCAGATCATCATATAGCTTTCACTGTTCCTTCCTTGGAAATTACAAGATAAGAAACTTTGTTTGCTGGAAGATTTAACCATTAAGAACTCGGGTGTCTTTTGAATTGAGTGTGAAATTTCAAGGTGTAAGCATTGTAAGGACTGGTTGGGAGATTTTTTTCTTCTCACCATCCTCAGTTGCCTCATTATTCCCCGTAGAAGGTTATATATATTTAGAGAAAGCGATTTGTGTAGTCAGCTTCATAAATGCATATTTCATTTTTCAGAAGAGCATTCTTCAAACCAAACTTTTCAGGAATGTTGTTGTGCACATTATTTTTCCTTTGTGCATAGTTATGGATGTAAAGGATAGTGAGTTCTCCCCTGTTAGCACACTTTGTCTTTTTTATGTACTTTGCAGAAGACAGTTCAGAAATGTTTACATACGGTTCAAACCACAGTCCCCTTTGCTGCAGCAAACAAAAGAATGACAGTATCACAGTCTCTGGCACTGTGACTAATGCAGAGAATTCCATACTTCATGTTTTTCAGAAGAGACAGAAAACGAAGGATGTGTTTGCTTCAGGCATGTCTACACCACGTGAAGGCATGCAGCAAAACCAGCCCTGTGTCTCTGAGGGAACTGATTTATCCATGCAGCACAGCAGTTCTGTATGGAGATGACTAACTCAACCCCTAGAAATAATGCAGCTGGGCTACCGTCTCGCAGCAGGGCCATTTCACTCCATTACATAGTGTAGATGTAGTGTGACTTAGTCAATCCATATACAACATCTGCCAGAAACTTCCAAGCCTCTTTCTCTGCCTGTCTGCTTATTTCTGACTCCAGTGTTTAGAAAGAAAATGTAAGATTCTGGCTTCATGGGATTTAATGAATCATAGAAAGTTTTGGGTCGAAGGGACCCCTAGAGGTCTCTAGTCCAACCCCCCAGCAGCGAGCAGGGACACCACTAACTAGATCAGGTTGCTCAGAGCCCTGTCCAACCTGGTCTTGAATGTTTCCAGGGATGGGGCCTCCACCACCTCTCTGGGCAACCCGTTCCAGTGTTTCACCACCCTCATTGTAAAGAATTTCTTCCTTATATCCAGCCTAAACCTACCCTGTTTTAGTTTAAAACCATTACCCCTCGTCCTGTCACTGTTGTCTCTACTAAAAAGTTTGTCCCCATCTTTCCTATAGGCTCCCCTTAAGTACTGGAAGGCTGCAATCAGGTCTCCCCACAGCCTTCTCTTCTCCAGGCTGAACAAGCCCAACTCTCTCAGCCTGTCCTCATAGGAGAGGTGCTCCAGCCCTCGAATCATTTTTGTAGCCCTCCTTTGGAGGCGCTCCAACAGTTCCATGTCCTTCTTGTGCTGAGGTCTCCAGAGCTGAACGCAGTACTCCAGGTGAGGTCTCACCAGAGCAGAGTAGAGGGGCAGAATCACCTCTCTCAACCTGCTGGCCATGCTTCTCTTGATGCATTCTTAATGAGAATGTGCTAATTGATTTAACCTTGGGGGATAAATTTAATCCAGTGAGTTTGTACGTTATTTTATTATAGAAATAATATGTATATGTAATACATGTGACACGGTCAGTCGTTTTGAAGATTCTTGATCATTTTGAACATCCTTGATGATTTTAGACCCCAGAGTGCTTTCTGTTCCACTTAAAATTGTTGTCCAAATAGCAGGCAGTATAACACACCAACTTCAAATACTACGTTCTTAACAAAATACGTATGCCTCTGTGTCAGTAGTAGATTTCAAATTTGCTGTTGTCACAGAATTCCCTTTAGATGTTAGTTACTTTCAGTGAACTGGCAAATTATGGGCCAAATGACCTGAGCCATGAAAGAGGTTTTTTTCATAAATGGCCAGTAAATATGTTCTGTGCCACAAGGGCATATATATTTCCTGCTTCTGAACAAAGCAAACACATTTGGGAAATTCTAGTGATCATTGCCTGCCAGCACAAAGCACAACAAACAACTCCCTCACTTCACCTCGCCATTAACTAGAGCAGAATTCTGAGCTTTTATTTTGAGATCTTTCAGTCAAATTTGTCACTGACTTCTTTCTCCTCCTGACTGCATTTTCATATCCAAAGGACCATGGTGTAGTAGAACCTATAAAAGCTCCAAGCTAGTATGGTGTTGACTGTGAACATGAGGGGAAGATGAGGTTTTATTTATATTATTTTAGGTGGGCTTTTTCAACAAAACCTCTCACATGTTTTACACTACTGTAGTGTCATTCCGTACTCAAACTATCATAGACTCTGACGGGAGAACAGTTTATCACAAAGCCAGTGG